GGGATGATGTAGGTTTTTTCTTCATTTCAAATTAAGAGTAGTATGACATTCATTTGATTCTCAGAACGTTCTACAGATTAATGTAGCTACATTACGGAAACGTAAAAAAATTACTGACTTGCTTCGAGTGTTTGATTGAAATATCAGCAGTGGCAGACGACAAGCTAAAGGCGCGAGATAAACGGAATGAAAGCAGGCGGAATGAAGCAGACGAAGCGAATTGATTGGCTGAAATCGATGAAAATAGCGCGGGAAGACGTTCGTTGTTGTACGGATTGGAAGTTAGTCTCGTGAATGTTTATTAGTATAGATATATTTACAGGTGTTTGAATCGTCTGCTTCACTTTCATTATGTTTCTGACTATATCGTCAGCGTCAAATATATCTCCGATTGACTGAAACATAACAAACATGACTTAGTATAATGGATAGCTTCTTTCTTGGATAGGTTAGTGTATATCTACCTGGAAAACCTTCCGACAACTTTTACAGATCGAACGTTATGTCTTAAAGGATTTCGGAGTGTGAGTGATATTGGGTTTCAAATTTAAAAATTTCCCTATGTGTTAATAAGCGATCTGTGTGTCTTCAGTTTGTTGGACGCTATGCTTTAAGTTTTGGACAATTACTAACTTCGTTAGATTTTGGTCCATGTGCTCGATATATAGAAACATCGATATTGAAATTCGAACTGAAAATAATCTTAGAGATCTGATAAGTAGGTCTCCAAATTCGAAATTTCGGTAAAGATATTACGAAGTGTGATTACGGTGTCCAAACTTGTCTCTTATTTATTCTCTTAATTAGTTGGTCTTAAGTCACTTGTAAAATTACAATAGGCTCGAACAAGTAGGATCGTTTGTGGACGTAACAGTTAATTTTAAACTTCTTGGTATCTGGTTATTGGTCTATTTCATTCTGAAGTTATTGGAGGAAATTTTAATTGATTTTTGTACTGGCTTATTGATGGGGATTATTAGTGATAATAACATTGAAGTTAAAATTCACTTAATCTTGTCGATATCGCGCGTGCTTTATTTCTAATATGAATGTGCAAGCCTGTTTCAAGTGTAGAGGAATTATATGGTGTTATTACTATAACAAATAGACTACCTGCATGGTTGAACTTCAAAAATCCAACCACCGGAGTCGGACTTTAAATGATGATTATTATATTTTATCCCAGGTGATTCCGAAATATTTCCAAAATCTTGGAATCATTAGAATTACACGAACCTCGAGAAGAGGAGCAACTGCACGAGGAGCCTCACGTGGAGGAGCTCGTGCAGGGAGCTATGACAACAACAGAAGATGACGCGATTGAAATTTTGTCTTGTCACATCGAACATGAAGAACTTGTGGTCGAACCGGCTACAAAAGTCAGCATCAGCGTCACGAAATCTAAACTGGAAGACGATCCGGCCACCAGACATCGCAAACGTGTGGCTAGAGCCGTAGCCGTAGTGTCGTTTATGTTATTATTGTTTAGTGTTGTATTAATAGGAGTTTCGTTAAACATGTCCAAAAACATCGACGAACTAGGTAAGTGGGTTACCATTATATTGCATGGAGATATTCTTCGTTACTAATTGCCAATACTCTTTTTTACTATGTCATTGCAATGCACCACTGCAATTTGATGAAACGTTGTTCTGATAATTATTCCCAGGCTTATGGACATCATGAGGGGAAATAGCCTAAGTTCATTGTCGTATTTCATTTATAGTGAATTTCTACACCTTACTCTTCCAAGAAAATCGTAGCATAAAAATAGCAAAATCTGGCTGAAAATATGTATTCATACGGCGCTTTTGTTCTTGGCATTTTGTACTACAATTGTCGTGAAAAGCTTTAGATCTAGGACAAATTATTTATTCGTCTAGTCGACAGAACAATCTAGAACACATGCTCTCCTGGGACCCCCTGTTATGGTCGCTGGTATCATCAAAGGGTACAGATACCCAATGCTGAGAACCAAAGATACACTGTTCAAAGAGATCTATTTATTGTCGTCTATTCAACGTATATTGACCTTGGTACTAGTTACGATACACATGGCATATTTTGATACAATATATATTCACAAGTATTCCAATTAATCTTGTATTGTAATTTGGCTATGAATGGTGACAGGTGTGCGGTTGATACTGTATATACTTATTTACTATAGAGAAACTGGGTAAATATTTGGAATTCCGATGAATGGATATTGAAATACCAAGCTTATTCCATGTATATTCTTCAAAACTTAACTTGAATGAAATCCAAATTTTAAGAAATATAGTAATCTGATTGGATAACAAAAACTTAAATTAAAATCAACTTTAGTGATTGGCCAATCAGGTGTCTGGAACACTAAAATCATCTTAGGTTAAGTTTTCCAGAATAAGGCCCCCGTCGTTTGGCATCACGACATCATTAATGTTGGACAGGAATCGTATTAGTATCTTCTCTGATACGGAAGACAATCCTAATGTAATGCTACCAGTGCAACATCTAATATAAATATCTATCTTAATAAATTATACCAATCTCTCGCTATTATAATTAAATGACAATTAAGCTAAAATAGTTAACCCTTATAATATATATATGTGTATGTTTATGTGTATTATTAATGGCTTAACAAGTATAATAGTACAAGTCTTTACCTTTTGATGTAACATTGCGAAACGTTATACATCTATCTTAGATCTGATTATATACTCTAATAAAAATTTCACAACCTGGACGAAATAATCACACAGCGGCCTTGGTCGCTGATATTTGTCGCCGATTAGAGTCTTGAGTAANATCTCGCATGTGCTTCCACGACAAGATTTATAATATCAAACAAGGTTGATAATTATTGTCTCCAATCGTCTGCAAGACAGACCATCATCATCCAATCACATCCATTTTCCTTTCATGTGCATGCTCCGCACGTGATTATCGACATGTTGGAAAATGACCGATTGGAGATTTTTGTCTCCTCGTGTGCCAGTGCCGGTCGGGTAACTCATGACAAGACTCAAGACCCAAGACCGTTCGTGTGTCGCACCTTTAAGTATGGATCCTATACAAATTTGAAAATACCCCGATGTAACTTTGCACTTATAAGGATCCAAATGACTACGAAATCTGAAAAACCTTGTTTCGTTAAGTGATTCACAGGGTCTGCAAATGTTTATAATTATTTTTTGTCTACAATATCAGATACCGATAACTAATTCCAAAAAGTACGAAGGTTCTCAAACGCATACAGAAACTTAATAAGTTATCGGTTGGTCCATCCAAAGCCAATTAAGATCCAATACTGTGGAGTGCAATGTCTGGATGCTCATTACATCTGGTTTATGTGATATCTAATTAACTCTTGGCAAAAGTTTGTTTACCGACAGAATATCATAATATACTAGATATCCATTTCAAAAAACCGCTAACAGTTTACATGTGGTTTGCCGAACTAGAACTGCAAAGCTCATACTGAGCTTCCATTGGTTAAAAATTGGATACTGACAAACTGTTGGATACAGAAAATCGGTTGAATACTGACAATCTGTTATACTGACAATCTGTAGGATGTTGACAATCTGTTGGATACAGACAATCTGTTGAATACTTACTTCAGTTCGTTGGATACTGACAATCGGTTGGATCCTGACACTCTGTTTGATACTGACAATCTGTTTGATCTCGCAATCTGTTGGTCCTGACACTCTGTTTGATACTGACAATCTGTTTGATCTGGCAGTCTGTTGGTCCTGACACTCTGTTTGATACTGACAATCTGTTTGATACTGACACTCTGTTTGATACTGACAATCTGATGGATACTGACAATCTGTAGGATACTAACATCAATTTGCTGAATACAGACGTACACGACCATCGTAGTTCTCTGAAGCCATAAATTGAATTTGTAGAATGAAGTGTGTAGAGAATAAACATGGTATTGAATTAGTAGATGAGTGTATAAATATTTGATGACTGAAGAAAATAGAAGAATCGGTAATAAAATTTTACACTGTCTCTTTTGTGGTCATCAATAATACAGTCTGTAACACTATACATAGCTCATAACAGAAAAAGTCTTTTGTTTGCTGTATTCTGTTAAATAGTTAACGCAGTAGAGTTTCATAGTAATAACAATTTCTTGTTTCTTTTAATATGTGTTATTTATTTGAATACAGATTAACAACTATAACGCTTTTAGCAATTTAGGCCAACGAGCTAGCTGGTCCTTTGTCAAACTGGAATTGTTGAAAGATTTATGTCATCTGAATTTCACACGACGACCAAAATTAGAACCCACGACCATCATTTGTTCGAAGTAACCCAGCACATAACGTTTTTTAAAAAACCTACGTTTTAATTAACTGATACAGAGCTCCAAATCTGCAAAAAAATTTCGATAATTATTGTCAAAATAGTAAGCACAGAGTCTTATTATTAGCACCAGCACATAACGTCTTTTAAAAAACCTACGTTTTAATTGACTGATACAGAGCCCCAAATTTGCAAAAAATGTCGATGATTATTGTCAAAATAGTAAGCAAAGAGTCTTATTATTAGCACCAATTCTCCTCAGTAAAATTCTATAGTCTATGTTATCCAGACGCTTAAAAACTGTCATGGATCATGAAAATTGATACTTTTCGTAAAATTGAAAAACTGAGACCGGACATTTTCTGAGAAATATAAAATAATAATGCACATCTAAGTAAAGATTTGCAGGAATCTAAGAGTAGGCACATTTTTCTATGTGGTATGTTTCCTTTATCATTCATAATAATTGTATTTGTATGAGCTGATATTAAATACAGGACGCTATCAACAAAGATCATAATTTTTCATTATGACGCTATCAATATTACATTTAAATATTCATCGTTTCTTTTTGTTTTAAATCACTGTATGGAGTCCACATTCCATAAATTCTCCATGTATTGTGAATGCATACCAATGTAACAGTTGGGTAGTTTAGTTGTTGATAAAAGTTGCATTCATTATTGATATATTCTATAGGCCATGGTTCGCCATTTTCGGTTATTTTGGTCTTGGAGAAAAGACTAGCCGTCATTATAACTTTCAAACGCATGGACACGCAATTTGGTGAGCTGTGATCCTTATTACTGACTAGCTTAGCTAAAAAAACACGTTTCTGGAACTACGGATCATGAATCTATCTCATAAAGAAACACAAGCGTACACCATGGTATTACTAACTTTTTAAAAAATTGACCAATGTGCTTCAGTGTAATATTTAAATTTCTAGATTGCCATTCTGGAACGCAATATATAGATACCTAGTTATATGGTGGAATGCAATCGCGTTCAAATGAACACACGTGTACTTCACAGAGGTAAATTTGTTCAGTAAGCATAAAGACTAGACCAAAGATCTGCTTGCAGACCGATGCTCTTCCTGAACTAAAGCTTTCATTAATTTCCAAATATAGGCACGTTATTCAGTCAATGCTTATATAGTCTAGAACGTTATTTGCATCTGACTCTAACGTTCTAATATTGAGCGAAATATCAACATTTTAATCGACTTATTTGAAACAGTTTGTTAAGAGTTTTGTTTCCATTAATTCGATAGACTCTGAATGAATTTGACAGCTTCAATGGGTAAAGTGAAATTAATGCCACATCCGTCTCCATATTCGAACCTAATTTGATTGACGAAGGGAAAGAGACGCCCCAAGAGGCGTAAATTTACTTCTGTTGAGCTTTTCCGAGTCGATCCGATTTTATGAAAACAGATGGTTTCTTCTTCTTGGTTGAAATAATTTTTGCCTACTAGTCAATTATAATGAACCTCCAAAACTTGCATTTTAATTATTCTTCATCGAATTTGAGCAGATTCGTGTGGATTGTGGATAAAGTCTCGCCACAAAGAGACGCAAATGTGCGTTGAACTAGGCTTTTAATTAGTTCAGAACAAAGACTTATTCATTTTGGGTGGGATATTTTGTTTTATGCAAATGGCAAATTTGTTGTACGTAAGGTTTTGGTTGAAGACTTTTGTCGCCGATTCGGTCTCCAGTCGGTGGTTTTCAACTTGGTCGATAATCGCGTGCGAAGTATGCAATTGAAAGGAAAATGAATCTGATTTGATGATGACGCGAGATTTTACCCAAGATTCGAGTCGGTCTTGATCGGATATTTTTGTAAAACTTTGCGTGTGCCTGCACCTTTAGTTATGTCGACAGATTTCATGATTAAATTAATGAATTGAAAGAACCAAGTCTAAGATTCTTCTTGGGAGGGTTATTTTTGCAGACTAAACTGTTGCAAATCAATTCTGGTCATCTCGACATTGGAGTAGTTTGATAGTTTGAATGGGGCTCCCCCTCGAGACGTATTGTGCATAATGTTTCATCGACGTTAATAAGGTGGTCGGATATTTCAATAAACCTAGATACGAGTGCAAATAAGCGATATTTCTCGACATACAGAAAAAAAAACTAATTAGTATTGCTGTGGATGCCCTTTGAGACACAAAATAGTTCATGATAACAGTCTCAAAGACTCCATCAAAGTTGATAGTCGTCCATCATCTTTGTAAAAACTTTCTACACTTTTTCATTGAAATATACTTTTTGTTTTAATTGGCTTTACTAATTAGTAATTAGTAGACAAAACCTGCTTCATGTACATTCTTATTTCTTTAGGAACCATAAAAAGTCGGTTAATTATAACAGTGGTTTGTAAAGTGTCTGGGAAATGAGGATCTTTCATGAAATTTGAATTTTTGGCTTAAGGAAAAGTCAGGTTTGCCGCGAGCAGTTCGACGACTTCCAGGAACTTGTGTGGCAGCGAAGAGAATGTGATAAACTGCTTGATTAAGACGACATCGCACGAAACTCGTGTATATCATACGAGCACGGGCAACTCCATACGAAACTATGGAACTACATTCGTTTGTGTTATTTCCTTGTAAGAACCATGCGTAGTTTCATTTGGAGTTGCCCGTACTCGTATAATATAGCCTACAAGAGTTTCGTACGGGTCATCACACTTACAAACAAACCGTAAATTAAATCGGTTTGAAAATGGTATGTATTACCTTGTCCCTAATGCGAGGTTTACCTACGAAAGTGAAACACGGTATAAATATGTAATAGTTTTGGACGTGTTGACGAGACGATGGTGGCCATTCTAAGAGTTTACCTGTACTACCCTTTTATAAAAGCTTCATTGGCGTTTCTTCTACAGGGGCGGGGGGTGGGGGAGTATAGATGCTGGATGCCACCCCCTTCACTTTTCGACTTTTTTTAATTTTTTTACATAGTGAAAGAATGGACTGTGCCCCCCTGAAAAAAAATTCTGGGCCCATGCTCGGCCCCTGTACCTGTTATCTCCTAGAAACGCCACTAGAAAGCTTCATCCACAGAGTTTTTCAGAAATCTTTGAGATGATCGTTTGTATGTTGACTTAGTATTAAAAATTGACTCTAAATATGTTTAACAGGGTCAAAATCTCTGAAACCTAGTTCTAAAGCAATTTTCTAGCCAACAAAGATAATACCACACTGTTTTTACTTTCTTTTTCCTTTCAATAATTAATGCCATTTCGCGTAGTCTCTTTTATCCTTTGTTGATAGCAGTAGTGAACGTTGGGCCGTGTGATCAAGTCTACAACTCTTAATGAAATTTCCTGTAAACGCAATACAACAATACATCAAATTAAACAATATTTTCATTCATAAGAATCATCAGTGCTCAAATTGAATCCGCTTGACAATCCCTCGGGTTTACTCCTCTAATTAGCTAGGTAATTAGGGTCAAGGACACCAAGGCATAAATAAAGGACAAACATGTGAACATCAGTTCTAATCAAAAATCAAAAGTCATGCCCAAACAGACAGAAAGTAGCAATGGTAGTCGAATATGGGTCCAGTCAGAAAGAAATGGTTGACAGTGAACACTTAATCAACGAGTTGGGGCACTAGTAGTAATAGCATTAACAGTAGTAGCTGTAGCAGTCTGTGCAGTAACAGCGGTAGCAGCAGCTGTATAAATAGAAAGACTTTTAGAGTTTTAGCGGCAGGGAGGGTTGCTGTACTATTTTGAGCAATGTAATTGCGGTAGGAGTATCAGCAGTAAGAGAAATAGCAGTAGCAGTTGTAGCAGTTTTTACGGTGACATCAGTAGCAGTAGCTGTAGGAATAGTAACAAGATACATTTAGAGTTTTAGCAACAAGGGTATTAGAAGTACTATTTCGAGAAATAGCCGTAGGGACAGAAGCAACAGTATTGGTAGGAGCAAGAACAATTGCAGTTAGAGCAGTTGCAGAAGCAATACGAACAGTAGCAGTAAGAGCAATAACAAGAACAATAGAAGAAGCAGCAGTAGCAGTTAAAGCAGTAGCAATAGCAGTAGAAACAGTAGCAGTAGCAACAGTAGCAGTAAAAGCAATAACAAGAACATTAGAAGAAACAGCAGTAGCAGTTAGAGCAGTAGCAATAGCAGTAGAAACAGTAGCAGTAGCAACAGTAGCGGTAAGAGCAATAACAAGAACAATAGAAGAAACAGCAGTAGCAGTTAGAGCAGTAGCAATAGCAGTAGAAACAGTAGCAGTAGCAACAGTAGCAGTAAGAGCAATAACAAGAACAATAGAAGAAACAGCAGTAGCAGTTAGAGCAGTAGTGCTAGTAGTAGCAGTAACAAAAGTAGCAGCTGTAAAAGTAGCAACTGCAGCACCCATCATCGTACTAGATTGTTTATAGTAACGAGTGTGTTAGTCTGGTTTCTTTCGAACTCTATAAAGATTGTGCTAGAAATAAGTAACCCAGTTAGTGTAATACAATTATAACAAAATATGTTAACAATGACACTGAAAGCTGAAACTGATGAATAACGTCATTATCTAACGATCACTAACAGTACTACTATCAGACCATAACATCGATCTGCACTATGTACTACAATTATACTGATGCAATGATATCTTGTAATATAGGTAATTTCAGGTCGCATAATAGACAACCACCCAATTAAATACCATGAGGTTAGGGATTAGGGTGATTGAAAAGTAACAAGTTACTATTCAATATAAGGCACATGCACAGGGTTTTAAAGTTATGTTTACAATAATTGTGATGCTAATATGCAATGAACTAAATCAAAGAAAATCATAACGGTTTTTAGGACTATGTCATGTCTCTTTATAAGACCTGTAGGTCTAGGGGTTCGATTCAGAATTAGGTTGAGATATCACCCTATTTATAACCGGACACAAAACCTAGGTGTGTTTCAGAGTGAGCATGTTAAGGATCCCTCGTCATTGGGAATCGAAAATCGAAGGTGAATGCCGCTGTCCTGTAAAATAACACCACCTCATTGCACATTGAAGGGTGTCTGTCTCTATTGACCCAATCCGGAGTAGAAACATAGCATATAATAAATGTAACTTGCTTCATTTCTTATAGCACTCTGTTCCAAGTACTTTTTGTACTTATTGTCTTAAGTTCTCATTATGTCTGATAGCCTATATAATACGGCGTCTAATTCGATTATTTGAATGGACATAATTGAATTTAATAAGATAAATTCGCTAAATGATATTTCATCAAGCTAGACAATTGTTTAATTAGAATGGTTTTCTAGAAAAATAAACGTCGGGCTATTATGATATAGAGTTCTGTACCGGGAAAACTGCGTCAATCTTCTACTAAATGTCTGCTATCATTTATTCAAAATTATCTAATTAGTAGTCATTGAAAATTAAACTTTCACATGGATGGTTCAGAATTACCGAACTATTGATCATTAGAAATGACACAGTCGAATTGATTGTTCAAAATTGCCGAACTTTGGGTTATAAAAAATGACAGTCATATTGATTGTGCAGATCTGACGAACCTTTTGATAACTGAAAAAGACCATTTACTCATCTTAAATGCCGAACTTTAGATCATTAAAGTTGACAAAGTAACAGAATTGTTCAGAATTGCCGAACTATTGATCATTCAAAATAAAACATTAACATGAATTGTTCAGAATTGCCGAACAATTGGCCATTAAAAATGAGAGTCACATAAATTGTTTATCATTGCCGAACGATTGATCTTTAACTAACTATTTTTGATTGTTCAGATCTACTGAACTTTGGTTGTTAAAAATCAGAATTGCCAAACATGAAAAATGACAGTCACATGGATCGCATAACTATTATTGGTCATAAAAAATTGCAACGTTACTTAGATGGCTAAGATTTGCCGAACATAATATGGAAATTGAAAATGACACTGTCACATGGGTTGTTCAAGTTGCCGAACTGTGCTATATTTGCCATTTTTAATCACCAATAGTTCGGTAATCCATGCACAACCCGTGTGACTGTGTCATTTTTGTTGGACAACAGTTCGGCAATTTTGAACAATCCATGTGACTCTCATTTTTAATGACCAATAGTTCGGCAATTCTGAACAATCACGGTGACTTTGGCATTAAAAATTGCGAAAGTTCGGCAATTTCGAACAATCTATGTTGTGTCATTTTTTGAGGACCAATATGCTTCAGAAATGCTGTGCAATCCACGTGACTGGACATTCTTAGTGACCAATAGTTCGGCAATTAAGGACAACCCACGAACAATCCATGTGACTGTGCCATTTTTGTTAGGACAACAGTTCGGCAATTTAGAACAATCCATGTGACTGTGTCATTTTTTGATGACCAACAGTTCGGCAATTCTGAACAATCCAAGTGACTGAGTCATTTTAATGACCAATAATTCGGCAATTCTGAACAATCAATCCATGTGAGTATGTCGTTATTTTTTGTTAGGACAACAGTTCAGCAATTTTGAACAATCCCAGTGACTGTGGTATTACAAATTGCGAAAGTTCTGCAATTTTGAACAATCTATGTGACTGTGTCATTTTTTGAGGACCAATAGTTCAACAATTCTATGACTGACTGACTTCTTAATGACCAGTAGTTCGGCAATTATGGACAACCCATGAACAATCCGTGCGACTGTATGTTTTTTTGACGACCAACAGTTCGGCAGTTCTGAACAATCCAAGTGGCTGTATCATTTTTAATGACCAATAGTTCGACAATTCTGAACTATTCTGTGACTGTCATTTTTAACGATCAATAATTCGGCTATTCTAAACAATCCATGTGACTATGTCATTATTGTTAGGACAACAGTTCGGCAATTTTGAACAATCCATGTGACTGTGTCATTTTTAATGACCAATAGTTCGGCAATTCTGAACCAAGCCAGTGACTTTGGCATTAAAAATTGCGAAAGTTCGGCAATTTTGAATAATCCATGTGACTGTGTCATTTTTAATGACCAATAGTTCGGCAATTCTGAACATTTCCAATGACTTTGGCATTTAAAATTTATAAAGTTCGGCAATTCTGAACCATCCAAATGACTTTGTCACTATAAATTGTGCCATTTCGACAATTCTGAACCATCTAAGTGACTGAGTCATTTAAATGACCAATAGTTCGTCAGTTCTGAACCATCCAAATTATTTTGTCATTTTCAATTGCTAAAAAATTACTTCTCATTACAATATTATTTCATTTTCTGAATTTTCTGAAAATTGATGAATTGATTATACAGTTGTTGTTCAATATGTATTTCTAGGCTACATTTTTGATTGAATCTAAAGCGGAAATTACGTGAATGATGCTTTCAGATCAATCAATAATGTGTGATATTTACTAAAATTGAAGGTGATCATTAACAAACTTACACTCACGCAGAAAAATAAATAGAAATCGTTTGTAAAGAGGTTTTCTGGCCTTTCATTTCCATCAGAGAAAATTTCTATTGCAAGCAATAAGCAGTCATAAAATTCGTAAATTCTCGAATCAGAAAGAAATTACACCGTGTATTTCTCGTGCCAATTATTGTTTTCAAACACCACTACTTTACATGAAGCTGTACAAAATTCCTCTTTCATAATATTGGATTATGTACAGTCATAACAAATTCTATTGCAAGGATTCACACATTCATGTTCTGATAAAATATCTATTTACTATAAAGAATATCAAAAGTTCCAATTCACGGGATACTTTTCAAAAATTCATTTTTAATTTCCGCTTAATTTCCTTCAACCGAATTTCTACTATAGAAGTCGTTTGTAGTACAAGCATACTATATGGAACTTATACAAGAACTTGTTACTGAAACGAAATGAAATGAATGGAGTTTTCTGCACCTGATTGAGCTATTGAAGACAGACAATATTGACGGAAAATAAGCATAGACAGCGGTATTAGTCAACTCTTATTCGGTTTGCAACTGATCTTTAACGTGTTCAACCTGTAGCAAACAGGGCCTCGGTTGATTGTCCCATCCGAACGACTAAACGCTTCTTCTGTGTCAGTACACGGGGAAAGCATTTAGGTATTCCGACAGAAGAAGTCGCGTCTGAAAAGGTGGAATATGGAACAATTTATTATCATTTGAAACCTTAAATAAAATGGATACAATAACCTCAGAAATGGAATTGGTTTGTCCATTGTTGAAGACCTGGAAAAAGGAAGTTAGCTTGTGGTATCGACACCATTAGAACTCTTTCTTTCATCGTTATCGTCAATATTTTGATATCAAGTGAAGGAAACTGCCAATTCTTAACAACCACAGTAATACAAGTCTATTAGAGCCAAATAAAATTAGCCCAGTTCTCGACGGTATAATAAATAGCTATGTGAACGGGGAACTCTTTTATGTTTGTTGACTTTGAAATTATCATTAGCCATCAAACAAACAACTGGTTTGATATTTTCTATTGATTACCTCCATTCATACTCTCCAAATATTGTATGGACATTTTATATATCAAAGAGTAACCATTAGTTTGATTATTACACTAGACAGTGGCGGTCTAAATGGCGTTACTTAATGACGTTAAATAATTACGTTATTTAATTAAATATTGGCGTTACTTAATGTCAGCTGCATTAAAAATTGATGTTACTAAACATCATTAAAGTTGCATTAAATATTGGCGTTATTTAATTACACAAGCGACGAACAATTATGTTTTTAAGTTGATTTTTCAAATGTATTCAATACTGGAGTTACTAAATTTCATCATTATTCAATATCGGTGTTACTTAATCTCATATGTATTCACTCTTGGCATTACTAAATAAAATTTACCTTAGTGTTACTTAATCTCAGAATTATTGGCGATACTAAATTTCAGTTGTATTCAGCTCAGATGTATTTGACATTAATGTTACTAAATGTCTCAGTTGTATTCGACCATGGTGTTACTAAATATCTCAGTTATATTTAATCGTAGTGTTAGTGTTACTAAATGTCTCAGTTGTATTCGACCATGGTGTTACTAAATGTCTCAGTTGTATTCGACCATGATGTTACTAAATGTCTCAGTTATATTTGATAGCTGTGTTAGTGTTACTAAATGTCTCAGTTGTATTCGACCATGGTGTTACTAAATGTCTCAGTTATATTTGATAGTAGTGTTAGTGTTACTAAATGTTTCAGCTGTATTCACCTGTCGATAATATCTACTCGTTTAAAACATTTTGCACATTGGCCATACTGTGTGACCTCAATTTAGATATTGGAAATAAAATTGAAAATAGACTTATAATAATATTTTTATTGCAATATTTGTAAGGCATCGATCATTTTTGTACTATTTTTTATTAAAAAATAATAAACCTTGTTTACTTGAGAAAAAATAAGGCAGTTGCAGAATGTGACATAAATGATACTAAA